ATGGGCTTCCCAAACACATTGATATGCCCGGCTCTGGGATCATAAAATCGTTCTAACAGGGCCAACAAAGTCGATTTTCCAGATCCAGAGCTACCGACGACTGCCACTGTCTGCCCCTGCGAAATCTGTAACGAAATATTCTTCAATACAGTAACTTCAGGCCGAGCCGGGTAAGCGAATGAGACATTCTGGAAATCAACAACGACGTTTGCGTCCTTTTCACCTTCGACATCGAGCAAAGGTGCTTGCTCCTTAGGCACATGCACTTGTCGTCGGATGCCGAGGATATTGTTGGATGCTATGCTAGCCTTACTTATGTCTATTTTCTTGTCAGTACCAACATCTTGGGGGATCGAAAGCGACCTACTGGATGAGAATCCGAAAAGAGCACCCGCAGCTTGTCCACCGACAATGACGGCGATGAAAACCGTAAAGAATTCTTCCGTTGAGGTTTTCCCCTCCTTCATTAGCTTGCCTCCGTACCAAAAGCCTAACGCAGCGGCAAGTAACTCAGCGCTCTCTGAGAAAGCAAAAAAGAGGGTTATGGCTGCTGTTTTCCGGGTTAGCCTTCTCATTGTTTGAGCCAGGTGCTGCTCATAAGACTTTTGCACAATATTTTCCATGGTAAATGCCTTGACCGTGCGGATAGATGATAGTGAATCTGATGCAAATCGAGCACTCTCTTCAAAAATCTTGGCCGTTGCTTCTGCAAGAGATGAATCCAGAGTCATGCGTATGAAACCGGCAGCGAAGACGCATGGCATGGCTCCAAAGATGGCTACGAGAGCAAGTCTCCATGAGAAGACTAGTGCAATAATACTGCCACTAATGATGCTCACGAAGATGGAGATGAGAAGACCAAAATTGACAGAAATCAGCTCGTGAAGATTCGAGGGATCGGTTGAGAGCCTCGAGACTAGAGCACCAGATGTCACGCGATCGAAGAACTCGATGCGTTGGCTGAGGATGGCACGGAAGTAGTCGAGCCGGTAAAACTTGGTGAGGCGAATACCCAGCAACGTCATGAAGAATCCCAACACGGCGTAAGCTATGAGAGCGCCAAGGCCGACAACGAAGAACATGAGGGACCAGAAATTGGCATCCGAGGATAGTTGCTGTGACTGCCTGGTGTTGTTTTGAAAGGTGTCTAGGACTCTGCCGAGAAGAATGGCCTGGATGGGGAAGATTTGTGCCGTGACAATAGCAGAGAAGACGCCAATGAAGAGTACAGGCCAGTACTGCTTCTGTTCTTTGGCGATGGTACAGAGGTTAGAGAAGAGTGAGCGTTTGGTGATGTCTGGAATTTCCGCCTCATGAACTGGAGAAGAGTCTGGCACAACAGACGGCCCTTTGACCAATGGATTCAATTCGATCAATGAACTTTCAACAGGCGCAAATTCGGCAGGTTCAGACTCGTCCTGCAGTTGTGCATCATGCAACCGTTTGTACAGCCCGCCACTGGCAATGAGCTCTTCGTGAGTACCTTGCTCTACAACCTGGCCTTTGTCGATGACAATGATTCTGTCGGCTTTCATGGCAGACGAAATCTTGTGTGAGATGAATATGGTTGTTCTGTCTTCAGAGGCGGTCATCAGGGTTTCGATGACTCTGGAATTCTCGTTGTCAAGAGCACTTGTTGCCTCGTCCATCAGGAGAATGGGACGCCGTCCGATCAAAGCACGCGCAATCGCAATGCGTTGCTTCTCTCCGCCGGATATGAGACCACCTTGATCGCCAACAATGGTATCGAATGCCTGACAATAATCGCGTTAGTGGTCAACTTTTCTCATGGGCGGATTGGGGAACTCAGGCTCACATTTGGTAATCTGTGGATGAAATCGATGGCTCGAGCTTTTTGGCATGCTTCTTCCACCAGCCTCCTCTTTTCTTCAACGGATGCATGTTCCTGCTCGGTTCCAATGAGGCCGTATGTGATGTTTTCGAATATCGATGCATTGAACAGCTGTGGCTGTTGCTGGACAAGAGCGATCTGGCTTCTCAGCCACTTGGCGTCGATCGCGGTGATGTCGTAGCCATCCAACGAGAGAACTCCTGCCGTAGGCTGGTACCATCTCTCCAGAAGAGAGATGAGGGTACTTTTTCCTGCACCTGATGGGCCAACCACGGCTGTTGATGTACCTCTGGTAAATTCGATGTCAACATCCATGAGGGCTTTGCGGTCTGGTCGCGATGGATAGGAGAACGAGACATTGCGCAACTCCACATGGCCATTACATGTGTCGAGCCTCGAGGCAACGGAATCGACAGTGGCATCGGTTTGGTCTGCATCGTCCAGAATCTTGAAAACGTCGCCAGAGGCAGCGACGGCCTTGATGAAGGAGGGCATGTTGGGACCCAAAGCCATAATGGCTCCCAAACCAATTAACATGGCGAAAAATACACTGCGTGGAAGTTAGAAGGGGAAGAATAGAGTCGTATGGGGAAGCAGACATACGAAAGAATTCTGCCAGGGTCCGTAATTTTCCCTTGCTTGTACAAATACGCTCCAAGATAGAAGCCAATGGCCCATCCCGTGAACATGAAGAAGTATTGGCAGGCAAACATCAAGCCGACAAAGGGACCTTTCTTTTTACCATCCTTCTGGGCTTGGTCCAGAATTGCCTCGTACTTGGCCAAGAACTTGGGAGCAGCTCCAAAAGCTATTACAGTCTTGATGCTTCCAAGAGCATCTTCAGCAATGGCACTGCAGTCAGAGTATCTCTTGAGAAGACCGGCTTCTATTTTCTGGTCACTGCCCACAATGAATCCGATCAGGCCGAGGGTGAGGAACACGAGGCCTAGCATGACTAGTGTGAGATGCCACGATTGTGAAAAGGCGACGGCAAAAGAGGCCAAGAGCATGGAAAAAGCTTGTATCATGACCCCAATTCGATCGGACAGTGCTGACTGAATGGAATTGCAGTGGGCTGTGATGGCATTCGACAGAGCTCCCGGCGTTTGCGCATCGTGGGCCGTGACGCTGCGATGCAGGATATGGTTCAGACACTGGTAATGGATCATTAGAGAGTACATCGAAGAGCAGCTCATTCATAGGCAGAGTTGAACAGTACCTTGAGTCGTAAAGCTCGCACCATTCGGTTCGCAGAATAGCCAAAGCCAAAACTCCATATGTACACGAGCTAGAAAACAGGGTTAGGCCGACAAGACTTCAACTCAAAGGGCATAACGATCACGATGTACCGTAAACTTGGCAATGAACAAGTACACAAACCAAAGACTGGAATTGTTAGAAGGATACTGGTGACATTGGACACGACACATACGCATTTGTTCCCACATGCTTCATGAAGTCCGCCGAGGCCTGTTCGTCTTTGTCGGTAAAGTTGGCAGTCAGGCGGCCAAGGACGAGTGCCATTAGGGGCATTGCTGCCATGATTGTAAGCATAAACAAAGCTGCATCTCACGACCATGGTTTGACATACCGGCACCGCTGCAAATTGCGGCCAAGGCGCAACCGATCTGGATTATCCTGTCCTTGGTTTGGCCAAAGGCAAACACCCTCTGGCTGCCCGTCAGCAGATATCGACCGACGTCTGTAGAGAGTCCCTCATACCATCAGCATTCCAAAACCGGTCCTGGGCGGCTCATCGATTGCTTCGGTCTCGAGTTCGACCTTGTTGGAAGCTTCGTTGCCGCTGGGAGTTGCTTCGAGGCCTCCCGCAGCCTCGTCTTCCTCCTTCATCGTGATCGTCGAGCAAGGGGGAATTGCGATGGAACGTCTTGCGAGTGTCGAAGGAAACGAACGTCTTTTGTCTGAGAGAAATGTGCGAATAGAGGATACTCCGTCAAAGTGGCGAGAGATTGGAGATGCGGGCAGGTGACGTTGAGGGGAATTAGGTGCGTCGATGTTTTTCTTTTTTTTTTTCGTTTGTTTGAGAACCAAGAGATGAAAGAATTGGACGGTCCCTGTCAAACACACTTACGCTCGGGTACTTTTTCGTTTGTATCTATCAGCACTGATATTAAAGATGTTCCTGCACCGAGGCAGCTGGCAGTACTTTCATCTGCGTCACTTGTGCTAACAGGTACCTGGATGTGGATGGAGTGGCAGCTGTTTGGCAGCTGTGCAAACGGCCGTCACCTCGCATGTGAAAGAAGGCGGCACGGCAGAGTATCAAAGCGCGATACTGACAGGAGATTACAGGTACCTTAAGGTGATAGACAGTACAGGGCATGAGCCAAAGAGGAAAAGAAAAGACGAAGCGAGGCAAGATGGCGTGTGCCACAGCACTCGTACGCGTGTGTCCGTATCAAGTCGCATGTCATGGCTTTGACCAGCTCTGGAAACGCTTGAGCTGGTTACCTAATTTGACTCGTGTTTCCAGGGCGTTATTAGCACTCCCTAGACGTTGATGTCCTACCTGTTGGTCCTATCAAGGTTCTAGGGATGGAAGCACGAGCACATGTTAGACTCTGTAGTAATACGGGCCCTTGCTCAATCCAACAAGCTGTACGACCAAGGCGTATGTAATTACGCCGAGATGGCTACGAAGAAGAAAGTATGTAGACTTTTGCATTTGCTAAATGATATCAACCAACTACCTAGTTGCTCATCTGGCAATCCGAATCTCTGCCTCATCCACTTCAAGACCGGTTACTCGTGGCTGAAATAAAGCGATACGCGTACAACAGCCAAGATATCCAAGACATGATGTTTCCAGTAGCGGCAAAAACAAAAGTGGCTGATCAGACCCCTGGCCAAAAGCTAAAAGTTACCGATTGGCTGAACCAAACGTTCAACATGGAGCTACATTAGTTTCCGAACGGCTGCCAACAATGCCGCGACTGATGCCATTTCTCTCCCGTTCCTCCAAGTGCCCCGTGCTGAGCTCAGGCTATCCATCATGAGTGGCCTCTTTGCAGTCATAGCGTAAACATAGAGACGACGGGATGTCAAAGGTGACACAAAGCCAAAGCCTGGGTGTCCACTACAGAACTGGGTATGTAGTGGCCAGTAACGTGTCCATCGCGATGCTTAGTTAGTACTCGTACTCGTCAGCCTCCGTCCTTACCCCATCCCTCAACTTGAGCACAATTTTTGCATAGTACGATGGGAGCACCTGGCCGGGCATCACAACGTTATCCGGCTTCGCCCTTTTGTCGCCTTCAAACAGGGCATCGTATCGCATCAGCAGCTTGGCAAAGATGATCTGACTCATTCGAATGCCAAGATAGCGGCCAGGACACATTTGCGCCCCGTATCCGTAGGCGAGAAACGTATTGCTTGCGGTCGTGGCCTTTATAGTGGCGGTGTTGGTCGTCTCATCGTAAAACCGATATGGATTAAACTCGTGTGCCTTCGGATAGTTGTCTTCGTCGTTGTGGATCAACCAGGATGGCGAGGTGATGATGTTTCCAGGTCGTAGAGCAAGGCCAGACTTTAGCTGAAACGGTTTGAGCACCGAACGCGTGACACTGACTAAAGGATTGTTAGTCGGGGTCATGCCCAATAAGAAAAGAAAAGAGAGAGAGAAAAACGCCGACAGCTTCAGGGACTCCCGGGTGGATATGCGGAGACTCACAAAGCGTTGGACCATTAACACGGAGAGTTTCTCGGGTGAAGCTTTCAAGTCGAGGAAGAGAGCTCATAGTCTGCACAGACCATCTGCCGTTGTTCTCAGCCAGTGCCGTGGAAATCTCAGCCCGCAAGGCTTCCGTGAGCTTTTCATCACGAATGGACTCGTAGAACAGCTGGGTGACGAGGCAGACAACCGGACCTGCGCTGTCAAAGGCCGTAAAAATCACCTCATCAGAGAAGATGTCAATCTGTCGCTCTTCTTCTTCGATGCTCATAGCCGTGGCATCGCGTTTGATCATGCCCCTCTCTTCTTTCAGATTGAGCATCGCTCCGAGCAATGTGTAATCGATGGACGTTTGCCCGGTCATACGCCAAAGCTCAATTACCCGCCGGATCTCGGGAATGATGAAAAACTTCAATCTTTTAATCACTTTCCGAACCCTGAATCCAGCAGGCGATAGATACCAAAACATCTTCCGGAGCGGAGCGGGAACCCAAAAGTATTGGTGAACAAAATCCGGCACATGGAGACAGTAATCTTCGATGTAGCGCATATACTCCGGATTGCTCGCGAAATGAGGCCCGATCAGAAACGACGCTGCAACCATGTGCACCAGATGCCAAATTTCGAGAAATCCTGCAAACGGTTCCTGGCCTATGACTTTGTTAGCAAGATGTTTCTCCTCCTCCTTCTAGACAACATTGGTAGTATACTTTTGGCGAGAGAGTCAAACACTCTCGGGATCGACTCATCGCTTTGCATGACAACCGAATCATGCAGTGAATCTATTATTGTAAGCCAACTGTATGTCTTGTTTATCGCCAGGCATACGCACTCATGTTTTTGTTTACTGATTGCCGGACGGCGTCGACGTGTGCGCGGCCCAGGATATTCGTGTGCAGTCTAAAGTGATAGCTCTGTGCGTGTCAATCGTGCCAATCCTCTTCAACTTTGACATTGGAAAGTAGCTTACATCTTCGACGGCCTGTAAGAAACTCATCTGACTTAGATCCACGCTCTTCACCTCATCGCATGCTCCCGGAGGAAGCACAAGGACGAAATCATCGTGTTGACCCCAGTATGCCCACGGTTTAAGCTTTTTGCTGAACTGAGAACAATCAGCTGTATTCACATCAATTACGTGTGACTGTTTGATGACATCTTACCGTATCATAACCGCGTTGGAAAACACCCTTCAAGTTTGACTCGTTTTCGGTCCAGCGAAGCCGCTTCCAGAGATATGGCGCGTCGCCTACAATGGGGATATCCCCAAGTCGTTTTCGCTGTTTTTGGTAGTTGAGCCAGTCGAGGAATATTATCAGGAGAAGCGAAGAACAAACAACAACGGCTGCAGTAGCCACTGGGCTTTCTGCAGCGCGTTGTAGAATATATCGCAAAATAGTCGTATTCATGCTCAGTAGATCGTTCTGCCACCACATTGTGATGGCCTCCATGAAATGTGCTTGAGGAATGATTCGGCTATGCACCTGGAATTATTTTTAAAGAAGCAAAACATGTAGGTAGCCATATTTGAGTATTCGGTCACCGAAAATGTGTTTCAACCAGCGCCGCTTTCGCAGATGCTGATTTGGCTACCCCGTTCATGTCGCACGTAACTCCTGTCGCTACCCTGGAATTGTCGCTCATGGTTGAAACCGCCCACCGAATCGTAAGAAATGTTGTGAATAGATGCTATGATTTTGTTGAACTTGTGACGGGGAACATGAAGGAAGCTTCCTCTCTTCACTTTAATCAGTCTGGATGTGCATCAAAGTGTAGTTGTAATTATAATTCAACGCTCACGACGGGAACTCACAACGTTCACACAAAAGCCACACAATCCCCATTCATCGAACAGTACATATGTGTAGGTACACGAAAAATGATCTCAAAATGGCCCAATATCACGCAATCACGGAAAACGTGAGTCATAAGTGTGCTTTATTTAATAATAATCAACAGAGTAACTAAGCCTGCCTCGCATTCCACAACTCAATCCACCCCATGGTAGTCCGCAAACCCCGTGATATATCACCCAACAGTGAAGATGCCGACTTTGAGAAACTGTCTTGCTTCTTTCCAGTCACTAGTCTTTCTCGCTCTTCGATTAATGCCACCAATTTATGAAACCGAGCTTGCAAAGCCTTTCGAAGAAACCTAAATCGTACTCGTGATGGAACCTTGAAGTTACCAACGCAAAGGACAATGTCGCCACTTGAGCTGTTGTCTGGCGTTGACTTGGGTCTCGACACAAACTCGCTGCGAGCAGTCTTTTGCAGAATATCGAGCATCATGCGGACACTAACCAACGCCAATAGATGCAAGATACTGTCAAGTCGGCAGTTTTTACATTTGTGGAGATGAGCCAGCGATTCTTCCACCTCCTTCTCCAGCATCAAGACACAGTCTATTGGCATGAAGCTTGAGCTCTGTTGCTCTAGCTTCAGACCTGCAATGCGTTTCGAAATCGTTTGAATGCAGTCGCATTGAGTTTGGACTAATGTGACTTGCGTTGTGCGCCAGGACAATTCAGAGCTGCTTTCACGACTGGCATGAAGGCTCGATGATGAGTCGCTGGGTTGCGAGGCATTTGATGGCGATTCCGAGCTCTCTTCTCGAGGCGAACAACTCGCATCTTGAAACGAGGTTGATGAATAGCGTAGCAGCTGATTTGGTTGATCCTTATTGCAAGGAACCAACATGGGATTGCCTCCGGATGATGATGTGATTGAGTGTTGGCACATGCATGACTCTCGGGTCATGGATGGCTGGGGCTGCTGCATCGACAGCGAATCATTTACATCTGATTTTGCGTTCATAGGTGGCAAGGCAAACGATAGCATGTCATGGGGATCAAAAAGTCCCACGGGCATCCCTGATGTAGAGGCTTGAGGCTGAAGAGAGCTCGACATATCATCCAAAAACGAAGGCATCCCATCAAATGCAGTCATTTCAACGAGCTCCATAGGGGACCCGGTTGATAAAAACTCTATCGAATCATTCTCTGGTTGCGGCGTCTGATCGAGCTTGTTGATGGCTTCTGTTTCGTTGAGTTGCCCCAGGTCGCCTAGCAAAGGCACCCACGCGTCGGGAATTTGTCCAGGCGCGGATGCCGGCGGATCGCTTGGCTCAGCCTCCAAAGCCAAAGGCTCAGCCAAGTGTGTCTCAAGCTCAGTGTCTTCAATCTCAGTTTCCGGGGTGACAGGCTTTGGGATCTCTGTCTCGTTGGGTTCTGTGCCGGTCGGCAGCCTACGACTGGACTCATCTGCGACGGCCTTCTTCGCCCTCGGACGACCCATTCGACGCGACAGGCTGTACACACAGTCTACTCGGTGCACGGAGCATCGTCGACAAGACGGCTTCTCATGGCCACACTTGACCTTTGCCGTTTGGCAGTTGTCGCATGAGGTTCTGTACTTTGGGGTCTTTCCCCTCTGCCGGACTCCTCCGTCGGTACCAACCATGTCGAATGCAGATTGCCGCGAATTTTTGTGAGGATCATCGACCGTAATTGGTATTACTGAAAGATATTTGGTTGTTTGTTCATTCCAATGCGCGTCTCCCCGTGCTTTGGACTTGGTTGCTCCCCCTGTCCCGTCCAAACGCCTCTTTACACAAAGAGCGGATAGATGCATACCCTACTGTACGAGTTTAATTAAGAGCTTATGATGAAGTCTGTTCCACAAGTCATGTTTGACTCATACACTCATACAGGGCCTGTAATATCATTATTGGTCCCTCTTATTTGCCAGCACACAGACAATGACGGCCGAAGCACGGCAGGCTTGGGATGCAGCTCTCCCGCTCGCCGCTGTAATTTGAAGCAGAGCAAAAATATCCTGAGAACTTGCCGGAGTTATTTTGATCTTTAACTCATCTCTCTTACGCGTGAGGGAATTCATGACTTACTCCACGGAGAAGAAAGTTGCTAAACACAGTTATTATTATCAGAATCATCGACGACTCAACTGCGTCCATCATCGCTACCCTGCCTAATTAGAGTGGATGTGGGGATTGGACAACCTACGAGGTTCCGTGATGGTGTCTTTCCCCGACGACCCGAATTGGAGCTCTTAGAGCTTAGTAAATGCTCTATGAGGTACAAATTACGTACCTGTTAGCTATCTTGATTACTTCCTTGCTGTGCAACGATGCGCGAAACCGCCGCTCAACACCTTGATAGATACATGGATTGTTCCACGATATACACCTCATAATATAGGGCCTCCTAGAAATGGATGAGAGTCACAAAGAAGTCATGGTACGGTTACCAATATACCCGATAAGCTGTTTACTAACCATGATAACGTGAAATCTTACGGTATGTATAAACAAAGCTGCATATTTAGCTACCACGTCCATGATGATACTGATGATGGGCTAATGGAAACTTGTTATTCCTATGAAGAGATGGGGAATGTTAAGAGTGGCTAGGGAAAAGATGAGATGATCCAATAGCACTAACCGTGTTAAATATTGTCTCAGGTAAGCATGATAAGTAACCGTAAAGACTATGTAGTAATATCGGAAGCTGTATATAAAGTTATTTTGTAAGATGCAGAATCCATGTTTTATTTCAGAACATTCCGTTTCAACATGCAGCGAAGTCATTGTAGTTGTTCGTTCAACGGACTCCAAAAAATTGCAGCAAATCTCAGCCAGGAGAAACTTTCCTTCGATGACCTTTTACAAATCGGCTCTGACTTCATTGGCTATTTCCAAACCATCATCAATTGCGAAAGATGTGTCACCACCAAGCGGATGACGAATACTTTGTCTCAAATCACCTCACGGCTCGTTTGCTTCTATGAAGCCGCCTACCTTAATGCTGCTACAAATATGATACAACCAAGAACACGGTCGACCAGCGACGCGGGGCTACTGTTGTCGCCTCCTCTGTCACAGCATGATCAACTAAGCCCTTTGTCTCCGGCAACACAACCATCACCAAGCTGCCAGTTGATGCTCGGCGAGATGAAGCTTGGGAAGCTTACACTTGAGGGGAGCGAGGCAAGGATCCTGGCAGAGGTGATTCTGGTGGATACATGTCTTGAGCTCAATGAAAGGATACAAGAATGGAGACTAGTCATTGATGAAACTTCGGAGTTTACTGAAGAGCAGTGTGATTCTGTTTCGTCAAATTGCTTGGATAGATTGGCCAAGTTAATTGGCTTACTACAGTTCGATGGGCTTCCCCGGATTTGCTAAAGCTGCGGGATGGGTATCAAGATTACTCTGTATGATCGATCATCATTAGTACTTATTTGAGAGTTATCAGTCGATTGACTTCATTCTTCATTTCAGTGTCTGCTTATACAAATTTCCCATCCCGTGGGCTGTACCTTTCATCTTTCTCTCTCCCAAGAGAAATATACAGCGTAATGTAATGTCTGTGGTGGGTGCAGGGGATAGTTCAGCCCAAGCAAGTAGCCGCGTCTAGTGAACATGGTTCCCATGCAAGTGCTGTTCCACAAGATTAGTAGTTGTTTGCTGGGGTGGAGATTATGTTATGACGGGAGATGTTCGTAATTTAGTAATTTTGTGTGCTGGAACATAATCATAATGTACCTTAACTAGGTAAATGAGAATTCATCAATTGGACATACAACAATTAGATTCCGTCCAGAAGGCATTTGGACAGAGCTCTTGAAAAGACTCACTTGTGAATTGCTCTCTGTCAGGTGAGCCATCTCATGGCAACGGCTGGAGCCGACCCGGGTCATACCAAACGGCGAAGGGTATCACAAACTTGATGTTTCTTGCCACTCGGGGGTTTAAAATAAAAGTGGAAAATATGGATGGATAAAGTCGCGTTGTATACCTGTTGAAAGCCGACCATATACAACAGAGCTCGGTGATCGAGGCCTATTGTCGGTTCCCGACGTGAAGAAGATACGTTAAGACTTCTAGATAATTGCCACACCATATTTGCTTAAGCGTTGTCCAACCCAATGATACTAACACAAGATTTTTATTCCATTCAATCACTACTGCCTTGGGTTAGAGTATTGAGTTCCTAGAGCTCTGCATAGCAAGATGCCGATCAACAAATTATCTGCAAAGTCCTTGGACTTGGATGTCCCAGACAAGCCACTAATCTTTGTCGTCGAGGGGCGATACCAGAATTGGATCAAGCCAATCATTCTGCTCGAGTGTCTCAACCAGGATTATGATGCGGTCTGCCTAGATGGGCCAGCTACAAGGACGGAGTGGTACACCAGAATTCATCCTCAACAATATGTACCAGCAATGATAGATAGCTCTCTCGGTGAACGTATTACCGCATGGGACAGCTCTCAGATCCTCTTACACCTGGCCAACAACTATGATGCTGAAAAATCATGGTCAGGATCGACCGTCGCAGAGCAGTTGGAAATTGGGAACTGGCTGACATTTGAAACCGCGTCTCTTGGGTACGTAGCCCGCCATTGATCTATGGAATAGCAACTGAATGCTATATAGGCCTACCGCAAAGTATTGGGTGTGGTATTCTATTCGGAAGCCAGAGAACAAGAACCCCAGCGCTGAAGACCAGTATGACTGTCTCTTCTGACCCGCCTGGTATTTAAGCTAATGATTGTTCTAGAATGTTGAATGATCTGAGAAAACAATACGGTATCCTGGACAAACATCTGTCTCAGCCTGGTCAAGCATTTATTGGCCTCAAAGATCGACCAACAATCGCTGACATTGCCATTTATCCGTTCGCTGACGATCCAACTATGGCTCGCATGGGACTAAGCAAAGACGACTTTCCAGCTTTGAAGGAATGGAGCGCGAGATTCTCGCAAATTCCAGGAGTATTGAAGGCGTATATGGAGATGGACTCTAGAAAAGAGGAGATTATTGGGGAGTGAACAATTCCGTAGAGACTCTAGAAGTAGCATATCCGAAGAAATAGTGTGGAGTTTAATTTTGCCTTGTGCATTCACTAAACGATCAATCAAGTTCCCTCATTTATCTACCTACTAAAGCTCGATGGCCGACACGTTACTTACATTGACGTATATATTTCATCCTTTCCCCGTGTATAACTTTCCAAATACTATAGACTATCAATCCACTTGACAACCATGGAGTCCGATAATAGCCATCTTATTCTGGCTAAGAAAATACTAGGGGAAACTCCTCTAATCGGCATGTAGTCCCTACACCGGCAATGCAATTTGCAAAACTAATTATAGTACAGATGGACATAATGACTTTCCATTTATGATTCGGGGGTGGCATTCCGGCAAAATTGGCGAAATTGATGCCCGCCAAATGGTCGTTGCTCATACTGACATAGAACGACTACGAAAAGGTTGTGTTGGAGGTGTATTTTGGAGCGCCTATGTACCTTGGTAAGGGGCGAATTCGTATTCAATGTTATTTCGTATGCTAATCAGGCGCTGTGTTGAAAGCCCAAACGAAAATTCGACGAACAATTTCTCCACCGAAGTTCACTATGAAAGCCTTCGAGCCACACTTCAACAAATCGACATCATTCATACATTAGTTGAACGGTACCCCGATGACCTCCAGCTCTCTAGAACCTCTCAAGAAGTATGGCAAGCTTTCCAATCTGGCAAAGTAGCAAGCTTGATTGGTGTTGAAGGCTTGCACCAGATTGCCAATAGTGCCAGCGCTTTGAGAAACTTCCACAGACTGGGTGTGCGCTACATCACTCTCACTCACGATAGTAATAATCTCTATGCAGATTCAACTGTAAGTAATTTAACTGATGCGACGGAAACGTTTCTTGGCATGATACTAACGGAACCTCAAGAACGCCGGCTCGCATCACGGTGGGTTGTCTGGGAAAGGCGTGGAAATGATCAAAGAAATGAATCGAATCGGCATGTATGAGTGCTATGTGCTTTCTACGGCGTTTTATCAATACTAACTATGGCAGGATTGTTGATCTATCGCACACATCGGTACAAGCTCAGAAAGAAGCTTTGTGTATAGCCAAGGCTCCGCTCATCTTCTCTCATTCTTCATGGTGAGTGAAACCCCGTTCTTCTCATTTCACGCTCGATCGACCAATGATGGACTTACTCTCAAACAAGTTCTTCCGTAACATTGCATCCTCGCAACAGTCCGAATGATGTTTTGGATATGCTGAAGATCAATGGCGGCGTTTTTATGGTGTCGTTTCTTCGCAAGCTTACTGATGCCAATAATCCGACTTTGAGCAGGGTCGCAGACCATATTCAATATGTTGGAGAAAGAATTGGATATGAGCATGTGGGCATTGGATCCGATTTTGATGGTGTCATGCAAACTACTGATGGGCTGGAGGATGTTTCCAAGTTCCCCTTGCTCATCGCCGAGCTACTAAGGCGCGGCATATCTGAGCAGTCGATCAAAGGTATCGTTGGCTTGAATGTGCTGCGAGTTTTAGATGACGTACAAAAGGTATCAGAAATAATGAAACGGAACGGTGAAGAAATGTTACATGACTGGATCGAGCCGATCTGGGACGAGCAAGTCAAAGAGGAGGTCAAGAGGCTTAGAGGTGTTGTTGAATAGTGGATATATAACAAAGACTTGCCATCTGAGCGAAGGTTTGATAAGAAACCGTGATATCTTCACTCACTTTACTCTCTCGATAAAAATCGAGATGCGACTTGTCCTATTATTGAAGCCTGAAAAGATGCCGAGTATAGATTTTATAAAAGGCTCATCTAACCTCTACGTGAATATTCATAATGCTGCAAATAGTATGGTGCTATTCTAAGTGCGCATCAAGGACGCATTCTTCCGATAGTTTATTAACCTATAGCTTTCCAGAGAATTTTCCCACCATCACCCCTGCCTAGAATATGCCGATGGAAATAATCGTGATACAACCACATGATTCGATAAAACCAAACAATTATCAAGGCGACGTATGCTGGACAATTGCCATCATCATCAACCCTCCAAGTCGTAAGCCGAACCAGCCGCTTCAAGAATGGCCTCCATCCTGCGTCGAAGACTAGTTGGCCGTATGTTCTGTCTGATCCTTCTAGTTTTAGATAGCGAGGGAAGGTTTCAAGATAGTGAATGTATTCTAGCGGAAGATTATTTTCTCTGGCCCCTTGAAGGAAAAGATTCTAACCACAAGTTAATAAACGCAGTTGATGGATGGCCCACAGCTTCCACCACATACCACGTATCGAGCACTTGGTGTACCGTTGGGCCGCAATGGCCATTTTGCCTTCAAGGTATACACGGCGAAGCTGTCACCGGAGACATTGTGCGCTTCGTCTAATTGATATGCTTGGAGCTTCACAATATCGTACACAACTCCGCTACCTTCAGTTACCAGTAGCTGGTGAAACTCGACTGCAGTCAAAAGATGGGCGATGCCGCACAGTGACGGAACGGGAATCTGCGTGTCGCCGTGGAGCAGTTGGCGTTTTCCGGTTCCACCATTTGGGAACTCTTCGATGCTAGCATAGCACGGCTCGGAATACGGGATTCCAAAGACGTCGAATGTAACATGATGAGTAGGAACATTGACAATCCTGGTAGCCAATGGAGTGATCTTTCGATCCTTCATGGTGCTGGCTTTCATGTTAGAGCCATATCCAAGATACCAAATGTGTTCCTCCTCTTGTGCCGCAATTTTCCAAATCGGAAGCTTTGTTTCGTTTGCCATTTGCGAATTCCTTTTGAACTAGGATGTTAATTACAACAGTACAAAGAGAAAGAAGATGAGAATCAAGATGTGAATAGATGTTGTTGATGAGAAATTGTAGTTATTGAGCTCGGTTCCCGACATTCAGCAACTGTAGTGAAATATTCAGTGCCCTTGTATGATATCTTCTTAATACCTGGGAATCTTATCGCGGCTCATAAATGATTCCATATAGAAAAGTACAAACCGGAATACACGTGGGTTATTTGGTACATATTCAATTGTGTATTCAATTCTACACTAGGCCATAGCGCAAGCCAAAAGTTGTATACGCTCCTGGTTCTCAGCTATCTACACTGTAATATGTCTTGCAATTTCCATCGGACTTTTCGCCGTAAATATGGCCCTCAAAGGCACCTCAAGCCCCAGTGCCCGCAGTCGATGACGAAGTGCAACTGCAGCACTAGAATCCGCTCCAGCAGAGAAAAATGACGTGTCGGGCAATATTTGTACGTCGCCTGCAGTTAAACACATCATCATCTCTCTCTGAAGGATGTTTATTACTTCAGAAAATGGTAGCAACGGGCCAAGTCCCGGTACACGAGGCGAACCGGCATTCGAAACGGTAGCATCTGCTAGGCGAGTATGTAGATCAAGTAATAGACATTCATCTGCTATTGCCTCGAGAATTGTGTCTAGAACATGCTCCATGGTGTCAACAATAGCATGTGGTAACCGGTTTGTATCGTGCTCGATATGAAGCGACCAACAGTCTGCATCTAGCTCGAACCATTCCAGCATTAATGGGAATTTGGCCCCTTCGGCAAAGCGAGGAGATACAGTCACATCGCAACCCGGTAACTGCAGCCACTTATCGAGGCTATTGCTTTGGAGATGAAATGTCACCATGCAATCAAAAATTGGGTGCTGAAGACCGCCGCTTGCGATGTTGAGTGTCTCCAAGATTTTCGAAAATGGGATCGTATTGGTTAAAGCTTTGAGTGCTGAATCCCGTACATCTCTCAGTATCTGCGTGAGGCTGGGCCCACCTGAATTAGATCGTGGACAATCGAGCTTTATGCGGATAGGGAGTCGATCGAGGAATTGTCCCAATGCTTCTCGTTCAGTCGAGGAACAACGATTGCCATTTGGAGCTCCCAGTACAACGTCATCCTCATTCGTCAACCATTGTGAAAGAAGAGCGGCGACTGTTAATGCCATGTGATGGTGTGTGATACCAAGCCGTTCTATCAAGGCATTCAGCCTGGTAATTAAATTCCCGCGAAATTCGCGGATTCGGGATGTCCCATGGAAGGCTGCTGTCACAGAGGGGAGAAGCAGGACCTTGAAATGGGATAATTCGGAGCTCTCTGAATCATCTTTACACAAGTAGTCTCTCCAAAAGTTTTGCTCAAGCATTGTGGGAACATATTGCCAGTAACTCGAGCTCAGATGCTGCGGCTCTCTGTGGGCTTTTACGACTTTTCCTGTGTATGCGGTTGAGACAAGCCGAAGCAAATTCTGCAATGTGGCCAGATCGGCGATGCTGTGAGAAGTTGTGATGACAATCTCGGTCATTGGTGTCTTCACTGTGCCTCCTCGTTCTTCAGGTTGACGTATAATGTGGATGCGAATCAGCTCATCATGCGCCAAGTCGAACGCATAGTTTATCTCTGATGCTACATCGAGCTGTTCCACCTCGCGAACTTTAGGAGCCGAGCTTCGAATGACCCTTCTTAGGCCGTTGAGTCCTTCAACAAAGTTGCATCCCAGGACTGGGTCAGACGCTAATGCTCTATTGAAAGAATCCACGAGCCTGGTGTAATCTAATGGGCCATTGACAGTCAAAACGTTGGCAATGTTGAATGCTGTAACTGTTGTTCCAACCTGATATTGGAACCATACCTGCCTTTCCAGCTCTGTTAGCTCCCCCGTTGGCAGTGCATGGCTTGGTATTGGCTCTTTTGTATGATCTTCTGAAATCTTCTTAGTTTCTAGCAGATGTTTAATTGCGTTGACTTGGTCTTGGAACACTGGAGACGGCAAAAGATCACGGGTCGTAACTTCAACATCAAGGATTCCCGTAAGTTTCGTGGCTAAAAGCAAGGCTAAAACCGAATGCCCACCCAAGGCGAAGAAGTTATCATCGGGACTCAGACATGCGTGAGGCCTCAGTTGCAGAATTTCGCACCATACCTCTGATAGCTTGGACTCAACACCGCTATCGTTCGTTGATATGGAGGGTCCAGGGAAAGCCTCGTTGTGAAGAAAAGACCTTGACCTGTACATCTGCTCTAGAGCTTTGGAATCAGCTTTCCCATTCGCTGACTTTGGGAAATCGGTAATTGGGATGATCTGCTGGGGGACCCATGAAGGGAGTTGTGTTTTGACCATCCTATTGCGGAGGCAATCTATCCGCTCTTGTGTCGAATTTCGAGATTGCTTTGAGCCAAATGTGACATATGCCACAAGGACACCATCAACCGCCAGCACAGCGCACTGCGAAACGTCATCGACCGCCGGCTCCGACAAAATCGCATGCTCTACTCCATCAAGCTCGATGCGAAAGCCACGAACTTTGACTTGACGATCTATTCGCCCCATAAAGATCACCCGGCCATCTTTCACACAAATACCATAGTCGCCGGTGCGGTACATTCGTTCTTTTGGGTGCCACGGATCGGGGAGGACGCGTAAAGCCGTCTGTTCAGGAGCGTTGATGTAGCGTTCAAGCACCTGCACTCCGGCTAGGTATATCTCGCCCTGAACTCCTTTCGGAACGGGATTTTGCTTTTCGTCGAGGAGATACATGCGTACTGTCGCTAAAGCTTTTCCAATCGTGATAACATCGCCTAGGATTATTCGTTCAAACGAGGTACTAATGGCACACTTGGGAGCATGATTAATTAGCTGAGCGTGAATAAGCTATGTGATTATCATACCTCTGCTGGCCCATAACCGTTGTAAAGAAGCTTCTTCGTAGCGAATTTTTGGATAATAGGAGCAGTGATTGCTTCTCCGGTGGAATATATCTTCAAAATTTCGACGATTATTAGCAGATAATACATGTCGAAGGTTATGATGACTCACAATCTCAAGATTTGGGTACTGTTCTGGTTCCAGCACAGACAAAACTGCCGGAGTCATGGCTGCTGTATTAACTTTTAGTAGATGGGCATATGGATCTAATGGATCTTTAAGAACAAGGGTTGCTCCGTGTAGTAGTGCAGAAAAGATCTCTCCGTTGCAAACATCAAAGGCTGGTGACATAAACTGGGCAATTCGCCTCCCGGGAGCGGCGAACAACGTTGCCTCGGGATTGCTCTGGTATGCCAGAAATGACCGATGAGTTGTAGGAATACCCTTTGGCGCTCCAGTTGTCCCTGATGTAAAGATGTAAACAAAAGCACTGTCTGCGTAGCCAGTATCAGGCAGCCTTGCGGCTTGTTCATCGCTGCTTACAACAGACAACATATGATCTATGGCTAATGCTTTCTTCCCGGCCACCATTGGGACTTCATTTTGCTGTGCAGAGTCGGGGACAACAATGGCAGCTGCCTTACTAGCTTCTAGAACCATAGTCTTTCTTTCCATCGACCACTTAGGGTCAATTGGAACAAAGGTGCGGCTTGTTTTGACAATTCCCAGCAAGCCTAGCAGCCACCCGACTGATCCGTCGCCATATATGGCAATACTAGTGGTCGTTGTATCAGAGAAATACTCATTAAGCATGTTGGCAATGACGTTTGTTTGCTGCTCGAGTTGTTTATAAGTGAGCGTGTTGCCTTTGCAATCTTCAATGGCAATGTAATCTTGGAACCGGTCGATCGACTCTTCCAATGCCTTCTTGACTGTTTGCTCACTTGGTTTGATCCTTACTTTTTCTGCTTGCAAATATGCTGTTTCTTGAATGACATTCAGCCGCATGCATTCGCTCACCAAGGTGTGATTTAACACGCCTCGAAGTGCTTGCTTGAAATGCCCGCCTAACCGTCGGATTGCACTTTCACCATACACACCGCTATTGTGCTCAATGCGAAAATCTCCATTAGAGTCTATCAGCAGCGATAGAGGGAACTCGCTGTTCTCCAAAGATTCTGCCCGAATAGCGGGAGGGTGTGAATTCTCATGGGGAAGTGGTGGTTGGAGTGCAACCAAGCTGCTCATGCAGCTGCCGATGCCAACTTGGTCTGAGCGTGCCCAAGCATACTCTCCCAGAGAAAGTATATCGCCCATAGTCTTCTGAAGAAGCTGGCATACTGTTTCATTCCCGTTAATACTGACAACCAAAGGCAGAGTTGATATGTATAAACCAATTACGTTGTGAAATTCAGGGTGCGACGCTCTGTTGGAGAACACGGAGCCCATGATGATTGTGGATTTGCTCTCAAAAGCGCTCATAGCCATTGCCCAGGCCGTATAATAGACGCATGCTGGCGATACACAGTTTCGGTTGGCAAAGTGAGCAACTTCGTCACTGCCAGCTGAGGGCCCGAATAAGACAGCGTTATTCGGGCTGGGGAGCTTCATGGTCCCTTCCATGGCGATATCGGGCTTCTTAGTGAAGCTGTCTGCCAGCTTCACTTTTCTCAAGTACTCGGAGAAAAATCTTTTGGCAACTCCATCCTTCCTTTGCTGGATTGATATCAGCTCAAGGGAGGCTTCAATGGAACTGAGACTGCGGGGGATCTTCCTCCCCTTTGCAGCGTGTTCAACATTGGCCAGGAGGATCTGCAATGACAAGCCGTCCATTAAGCTATGATGGACCGTGAAGACTACTGTCAACTCTTCAATTTCTCTCGACATGCTGATGGCGGCTGCGGCTCCTAGAACGGCATTTGGGTGATACGCAATAAATTCCAGTGAGCAGCCCAGTCCGACGTTAATATCGGCTTTCTGGACTGCTTCTTCATAATCGGCCAAGTTCTTAAAGAGCTGTAGCTTGGGCTTTCTCATTGGTTGTTTGTGGACAATTTGAGCACCGCATCCTATAGTCAGACACAACTCAGTTCTGAATACTGGTTCTGTTAGCCAGACCGCGCGCCATGCTCTCTCAACCATGCTGGCATATTCGCTCTTATAAGACAATTTGACTTGGTTTACATTCTTCCAGTTGCAACTCAGAGTTGGTAATGCCAGAGCCAACTGTAAACTGGTCAAGGGACCAATGTCAAAGCTATCGCTCTCCAAAGCCAAAACGCTCTGAGCCTGGCTTCGGAGAGATGCTAATTTGTGTGCAACATCAAATCTCTCGTCTGCGAGCGACGGCAAAGATCCTTCTTCTGCTATTGCAATATCATTCGAGTATTTAGCTATTTCCTGGAATGTATGACCACTGAAAAGATCTTTGGGAGAGATGTTGATATTTCGTTGGCGGAGGGCTGAAGCAAGCTTGAATGCCAAAAGCGACGAGCCGCCTAGTTTTAGGAAGGAGTCGCTTTCTTGTATTTTCTTCAATCCATCTCCAGAAAGTCCAAAAAGATTTGAAGCAGCGTCCAGAATCTTGGAGAGCCGTTCCTCTTCGACCGTTGTGTCGGAATATGACTGTTGTGATGCCGGTGGCGAAGGCAAGGCGGCAGGTTTGTTCGAGCCCATTGTGCCATCCGTAGCTGAGATAACCTCCAGCACCTTTCTATGCTGTACTTTACCGTTGGAAGACGTGGGAAATGATTCCATGGCTTCGATCCGATATGGAATACAGTAGGTAGACATAGAGTCCCTCGCTTTCGATAAAAGTGCAACGGTATCAACGCTCTCTGGAGTCACAACTGCGACAATTCCATCCTCTGTCACTGCAGCGCAGACAGATGTTACACCGAATGGAATGCCCACATGGCTGAGAGCATTTTCGACATCACGGTCTAGATTCACGAGGAACCCCCCATTCTTGACCGTTCTGTCTTTTCGTCCGCGGAACTCGATCAACCGGCCGCCGTCAGGATTTGGTATCCATCGACCATAATCGCCAGTTTTGTAAACTCGCTTTGAGTTCCAGTAGATGAAATTACTGTTTGTTTTCGCATCATCCTTGTAATATCCGCGAGAGAGGCCATCTCCTGCAATGAGTATCTCTCCTTCCGCAAAATCGTCTGCGATCAGCTGATGGCCGCTCTCCACGAGGTAAATTGGGCTTTGTTTCATTGAGCTACCGATTAGCAGCGGATTGATTGCCTTCGTCTCTGGGTCACGGGTTACAACATGTATAGAGCCCATAGAGGTCGTCTCTGTCGCTCCATATCCGACCAGAACTCGAATACCAGCATCCAGCAGGGATCCCAGCAAATCCTGCCTTGCGGTTTCACCGCCAAGAATAATCGTATGAACGTGATTAAAAATTCTGGTGTCCGATGAAGAATCCATTAACGCGCTCAGTAGCGAAGGTGTGGCAGCCACCACAGTACATGAAGGGGCCTTGTCGTATATGTCTTCGGCTTGGGTTGGGACCACGGTGCCACCATTTCCCAAGGTTGAGAAAAGCATACAAGCGCAGGCTGTAATAGACTATTAGTTCAGGTATCTAGAGGGTAAAATTGAAACTAACCATCAAAAGCCACCGACAGAATATGGAGAAGCCTATCTCCAGGAACGATGTCCAGGTTCATGGGACTTGTCGTAGAGTATAAGCATAAAGACTTGTGCGAGAGGATGACGCCTTTTGGACAGCCGGTACTGCCACTTGTAAAAATGATGCATGCATCATCTTCCAGCGCCTGAGAATATACGGACGGGGAAATTTGAGAGGACGATATCGGCGGAAGGCTAGTCAAATGCAATACGTGATGCGACCCCTTGGCGGATGAGAAGGGTTCTGGCGTAGTATTGATGATGATACGACTTTCGACTGTGTCGCAAACGTAATTGATCATTTCAGGTGACCATGTCTTGCGATCGATGGGAACAAAGCAGCCTCCAGCTTTGAGAATAGCTAGGATCGCGATAATGTTGAAGCTTCCATGAGTCGTTACCAACAGAACTGGCGATCCCTTTCCAACTCGCAAAAGAGCTAAATCATGAGCTAATGCTGATGAAATGTCATCTAATTCTCTATAAGTAAAAGATCCATCTTCATGTTCGACTGCAAGGTTTTCTGGATATTGCCGCACGGACTGGGCGAATAGTTCGCATAAGTTGGTGGGTAATGATGACATGATTCTCGAGTATAAAGCGGCGTAATGTATCAAGAAGAGGTGTTTGTTCTAGTCCATGGCTTGTATATATAGTAGACAAATAATTGAGAACGAAATTAATGTTGATACAAACCCAGGGTCATGATCGTCTTAACTGATGCCAGTTATCCTCGTCTGACCCCGACGACCCGATTGCAATCGGACCGTCGGTTACCGACACCAATCCATCACATATTATTATACAGGTAATGAACGTCAAAGGCCAGAAGAAATAAAGAAATTTGAATAATTTTATCGAAAAACAATTTCACTGATTACTCACATGTTTCTATTCACGGTGTCGTGCGTTAAATCATGCTTTTACACTTGTTGAACCGAGTGAGCGATAACCATATCCTCATCTTGCTTCTTTCCGTTGCCTTGTTTTCTATTAGTGTGGTAAGAAAGTTTCTCAATTTTCTCATTCAGAAACTCAACTATTTCCTTGAAGTTACTCCCCAATTTATACTGTATTAATCATATCTGGCCTCGCCATTGCAGTCCGCCCAACGATTTAGTCGCATCAAACTATTTCCCGGCCCACCCTTTCGCTTCCCTAACGGACAGGGAACAGAAAAGTTCTTTAGCGGACGAAATGCAGCTCGAAGATGGAGAAACAGCTATGGGTCTATATACAGTATCTGGTCAGGTTTTAAGCGCGAAGTGTGAGAATCACCCAGCATACAGCAGTGTCATCATGCCCACTGACGCATGCCCCTCAGTGTCATAACCAAACCTGAACATGTACAAACCTTCTACAAAGATTCACATAATCATATCAAAGCATCCGATAATAACGCAGGATGGCTTTTTGGAGAGCTACTAGGCTCTTGCGTCGGCGTTGTCAGTCAGAAGCGGTGGTCGAGAGTTCGCTCACCCTTTGAACACCACTTTACGCGGCCAGCATCTCTCCAAAGGTCATTGCTTTTTCTCAACGAAGCAAGGGTGTTCTTACAATCGATGAACAAGGATAATGAGAGTAACATCATTAACGTAGCAGATGACCTGAAATTTTGTCCTTTCTTTATGGTCGCAAGCATCTTCTTTGGTCCTTTGTCGGCAGCCCAGCGGCATGAGATCTACATGATTGGACCTCTGAGAGAAGCACTATTTAGGGACGCATTTAGCGGCGGTATCAATCGATACGCCTTTGCTAAATATCTACCTGGTTCGGCACTGCCAAAACTTCGAGAGTTTCAGCGCCGTTGGGAAGACTTCGTCAAGAGGTCGCGCGACGAGGCTACCCTTGACAGTGGAGGCGCCATTGTATCCCTTTGGGAGGCGGTAGAGCGTAGAGAGATATCCAAAGAAGAGGTTTGTTGAAGAATCTCCATTCCTCCAGCCATCTCCGAACGCATCTAACGAGAAGCAGCTTCTTCAAACCTTGGATGAGTCTTTATTTGCTAATCTAGATGTCACTGCACACGCATTATCTTGGAACATGCTCAGGATTGCTCATCATACCAGTATTCAAAATGATGTGCGACAAGAAATCAGGACAAATTCTCACTCAGAGGAAAAATACGAGCAGTATCTCCGCCAGGATAACACTCTCTTGGCTGCTTGCATCCTAGAATCCTCCCGGCTGCACCCAATTCTCCGTAAGCGGGCAGTTCTACTCGACTTTGTGTATTCTGCTGATAGTTTTGGTAGCGTTTTCGAACCCTGAGTCAGCGCTGACCGATAAAACTGTCGGCGATTTTAAGATTTTACGCAATGTATGGCCTCCACGAATATTCACTGAGACACATGAACACCGAACTAATCGCACCAGACCGATGTTATAGTAGATTCGTACGCTATCAATGTAGACAACGCCTACTGGGAGGACTCTACAGTGTTCAAACCTCGCAGGCACCTCGGCCAAAGAGATCAATCGCGGCGATATAACATGTGGCGTTTCGGATTTGGTCCTCGGCAGTGCCTGGGGAAGAATGTGGCCGACATTATTCTCCGGACAATTATTGCGGAAATGGTGCGTTGTTATCAGCTTGATATTATGGGTAAAGATGGAATTGATGGCATTGAACTGCAAGCCGACAGCTGGATCGGCTTGCCTGATGGCATGGTAAAACTCACTCCGCACACAGAATAGTTTCTTTCTCTATAATAGGCATCTCTACACTTAATGAATTGAAACGAGTTCGAATCTGGAAATACAATCTGTAGGCAGGATAAATGTACAAGGGCAGCTCAAATACACGCCGACGGACAAATCTACCCACGTATTCCTCTCCACCAATTAGCACATGCTGTAGCCCAGCTTTGGACACTCAAGTCAGTGGTAAATACTGATTTGAATCCAACTGCTTCTTCAATTCGCCGCAATCCCTTTAGTAACTCGTCTTCTGGAATCGCAAAAGTTAGCCGGAACCAGCCCGGCTGGGGCTCAGAGTAATCCGCGCCACTGCCAACAAACACTCCAAGCTGAGAACATCGCTGAACGAGAGCCTCTTCGTCATCAAAAGTAACGCATTCCGCTGATAATCTTAGCCAGATGTATAATCCAGCTACTGGGTTGTAATATTCCAGTTGGTGAAACTCAGCAAACTGAATAGCTAATTGAGCAGCTCGACATAGTCTCTTTGTGTTGAGGTCCACGATCTTCTTCATTTCCGTTGTGTTGGAAAGCATTGGTGAGATCATGACGGTGGCAGCATTGCAAAGCTTTGCATTGTTCAAAATGGCCTGCGACATTCGCAACGCCTCATTCGCCTGGCTGACGAGACACCCCTAGAACGGTATATCGATTAGAAGGGCAAATGATTTGCGCATGAGAAAATGTTACACCTACGAGTCTAATGCCACTGCAGCCAAAATCCTTGCTAATGCTGTAAAGGACATGAACTCTGGACCTTTCAACGCACAGGGCGTCCAGGTTTCTTGACAAGACTGAAGTAAATTCTGTCTCTGGAGATTTGAATACTCCCTTGCATCTTACCGACGAGTCGCCTCCGTCTCCAAATGTTGAGAGCGCATAGATCTCATCAGAAATAAAGTGCAAATCGGCCTCTTGGCAATATTGTAGCAAGCCATCTATCGCCTCAGTAGGGCAAATATGCCCGTGGGGGTTGTGGGGATTGCAGAACAGTATTCCTCGAACCTTGCATGAAGCATTTTGTGCTGCTGATCTATAGGCTTGGACTATATCGCTTGCGTATTGAGATCGTTCAAAGGGAACATAAACTGGTATCAATTGAACAGAATTTCTCAAAACCGCCGATACTTGGAAGCTTCCTACTCAGTTATGTGAGTTCACTCAGTTATTCAATGCATTACCGTAGACGCAAATATTTACTCACCCCACATAGGAGCTGTTACAAGAAGGCCATCGCCAGCGTCGCATATATCGTTAATCAGCGTATCTAAGACTGCGCTACAGCCAGTTCCGGTAACAATATGTTCCGGTCGTATCGGGACCATGGGCGAGAAGAAATGGTTGAAAAATGTTGAGAGACTCTCTAGAAGTTCGGGAGTTCCTCCTAGACCATTGGCATATGAAAGGTGTTCTTCTTTTAATGCTTGGGCGCAGTTTCTTTTGAGTATGGACAATATTTCAGGCCGTATAAGCCAATTCTCAGCAGTGGCCATATCGATGATCGAGACATTTTTTGACCCCTGCCGTGCTAGCGGGCGTTTGAACTGCTCTCGAAACCAAGCGTTGTTCTCGATTGCTCGCCGCGATAACATGATTCCTATTCAGCAATGAGCAACGGTGGTTTGTAAAAGTTTGCTGATAAGCTATTGGGGTATTCAGGTAAACCGAGGATTCTAGGTAAGAAAGAACAATAAAAATTGGCTTTCACCAATTTACGGTATTATTCGAGATGGATAGACTAGTTGCTACACGCTGGAACCTTTTCTGCCATCTGGTTTTGCATGCCCTGGGATAGTCGGAACCCGGTTAGGTGGCACAGCTCGGTAACCGAATTGAGTTGGAAGAACATGAGAGATTCCCACTGAGTGAATGCAAGCGCAGACCAAATGATTATCAATAATTGTATCTTTTATTTAGGGAATTGATTCAAAGCTAGATTTCTCCTCAATTGGCTTTTTGGCATAGCAAGATCATTGCTCTACATCCATTAGACTACTATCTTAACAGTCAAAGACAGCGCCATGGCTAGCGAGGCTAAATCCGGTGAAACGTCTGCTCAAGATGCGGCAAGAAAAGCATACATCTTGCCTAACAATCGACAAGAAATTGATCGAATGAAGAACCAGCATGAATGGATAAAAGGCGCATTTGGTGGCTTAATTAAAGCTCCGATTGACTATCAACGAAAGAATCAGAAGATTTTAGATTCTGCAACTGCTGATGGTAATACTAAGTCTATCAATCATCCATCTCTCAGATCATGTGTGTACTGACTTTGTGTGAGGTACCTGGCTATGCGATGTTAGCTCACTATTTCCGCCCGAGACGGAGCTCGTAGGATTCGATATTGCGTCAGTCTTGGACAGTCTGTATAGATTGAGATTCTATTAACATGTTCTATCGCAGGCCAGAGTTATACCCGCCATCGGAAAGTCTTCCATCAAATGTCAGCTTAACCCTCGGCGATTTATCCCAAGAACTCCCTTCTCAGTGGACTATGTATTTTGACCTCGTCCATCAACGGTTTATCTTCCCAAGTTTCTCAATCGCCGCTATCGAGAAATCCATCGACAGATTAGCCAAATGTGTGAAGCCGGGAGGCTGGATCCAATTTGTTGAACCAGCCGCAAACGAGAATGTCTCCGGTCCAAGCCCTTCAGCTTTCGCAACGTTGCACCAAATTGCCGATTTATTTATGCAATGTCCAAATCCTAAGGCAGTTGTCCTGTCACAACTAACAAAACTCGGGTTCATTAATATCAACATCCAAACGCTGGATATCGTCATTGGAAAATTCCAAGACAATCGCGAGTTGGATGTTCGTGGGCGAAAAAACATGCGCGCAGCTTATAACAACATGTACACAATGACCAGGCAAGTTTGTTTTCGAGTATTGACTGTGCAGTCATCCGCTAATCGTTCTCACCTTAGCCCTGAAAGCCTGAACATGTCTACAAAGGATTGGGAGGATTTACCTACCCGATTTAATAAAGATTTGGAGACTTATCGAACCGCTATCAGACACCATGTTATTTGGGCGCAGCGACCGGAGTAGATGGACATCAAGACTTTTCTCTCAGAGCGCGTCCAAAGGATGGGCGCTGGGTTTATTTTGTCGGTAGTAACACTTGTGGTATAGACGCATCTTTGAGTAACTCACGGCTTTAACAAAACGGCTAGCGATTGAAATACTAGAACAGCACTGATCTATATTCTCATTAAACCTCTTATCGCCCTGCATTATACGTTGCTCAAACTTGATTCAAGGGCTGTTATAGACTTCCACGGCAGCCTTGGCCGTCGACGTAGCACTCGCGGGATTGGTACCAGTTACCACGCGGCCATCGACGATGTGCAAGTCAGCCCAAACGTTATCGGGACGCTTGTCTGTTATTTCAATTTCCGTGTTATTCATGTTTGCTCACTCATAAGAGGCGAATGCAATACACCCACACGTAGCACCGAGAGCCGCTGCATGCTCCTCCACGAGGGGCTTGCCCCAGCTCTTAATCTCCGGCATGATCTTCAAGACATATTCTCCCTCGTTGGTAAATCCAGTGATGGTTCTACCGCCAATAATGGGCTTTCCAGTGGCCTTGTCCTTGATGTTGGCGAAAATGGTGGGACCGTGGCAAACGGCAGACACAACTCCACCGTTTGCCCAGATATCCTCGGCGATTTTTTGCAGACCAGTAGCAGTTGGGTAGTCAATGGGAGCAGAGTGACCAGCCGAAGCGAAAAAGATTCCGTAGTTATTGCCATCAAGCCCAGAAGGGGTCGGCGTGTTATTGAGTTTCTACCGGAACTCGCTTTGCAGGTCATCGTATATCTCCTTGTCGGAGCCATTTAGGAAATCGGACTGCAGTGACAGCCAATCCGGTGTGTACTTGCCAGTCTCTGAAACCGAGTCAACTTCAAAGCCGGCATCACGGAACACTCGAAATGGGTGAAGAACCTCCGAGATGAAGACACCGGTTGTCTCTTTGCCATTGAAGAGGTCAGCCTTGGCTGAAGTGACGGTAATGACAGCGCGCTTTGGGAGAGGAGCCATTTTATTCGTATTATCTTTTCGTGATTCCTGGTAGAAGATGCTCAGACGGTATGAGAAGTGGTCTTGGAAAGTTATCCTTCAATTGCTGATTTTGAAGGCGTGTTGTGAAGATTGAGTATGTGAATGATGGAAGTGATTCTTTCTTCTCTTGTTCTGCCGACCAGTTTGATCCTTATATAGTGATTTCGAGTAGTTTCCTCATGATTCTTCAGAATACGTCATTTCATCTCTTGTTTGGCCACCTCTTCGCCGGTGGGCCGGCTAGTGGTGGCAACGACTGTAGTTTGTCCGGCAACAGAGGGCCACTTTGAGCTGTATCCTGTGGGGACGGCGCAGTTGACATCAACTTCGTCAAGCAGTTTCTGGAAGGACTTTATTCCTGTTGGGGTGTAGTGGGTGCTATTTGGAGTAACAGCCCGCAGAAGTAGTATGAAAAGGTTGTCTACCGTGATGCATCTTAGAATATTCGAGCTTTGGCTTCGGCTTGTCTCAATGTAATAACATCATGCTTGCTAGTAAGACTTTGCTTGGCTTTGGAGAAAATTAATACTACTACATTTATTGGCTCGAACTCCTCTTCATCAACGTCTTCACTCGGATCAAAATGGGTGGACATACGGCGGAAGCTTGTAACACTTGGTTCGTCTATTCAACTCTCGTAACATACACTATCTTGGCCGTCTGGGCTCATATGGATGTGGCTGAGAGTCGTAGCCGACACTGATGAAGCCTGACTCGAAATACTATGATCGGTTTCTTCCTGCTTTCTTCTCGCCTCCTTTTCCAGCAGTATGCCGAGCTTACGACATCAGCCCAAAGAAACTTCTAAGCTTCAGGCACTGGTGCTTCTAAGAAGTTCAAGCTGAAATCCACTTTCAAAGGATAGAATACGACAAAGGTGCCCGAGTTGGCATTTATTATCCAGGGACTTCATACATCTACATCCAAAAAATGTTCCCATGTTAGTGCGTCTTGCATACCCTCATATACGGATTTGGTTGCATTAACCTCTGATTAGTTTCATTAGCTTACCCAATCAACTTCAGCTTTGCTGGCAGTTTACAGTAGAAGAGAGGTATTCCAGTTTCACTGCATTGTATACGTCGAGTCTGCCGGTTACAAGCAGCACCGCAGAGTCTCTATAGCATGTCTGTTAGAACTAATACAGCCAAGTCGGTACCTGCCCGAGGAGCGGTAGATAGAAGCTCACGCAGCGATGGGAATTGCGAGTTGAGAGGCAAGTCAAACAGAAACACAGACCCAAGTAGGTGTACTTGATAAAATATCTGGGTCAAATTTTTAGAAGCAAGATATCAATTACTTGGCAGTCATTTGTCCTGGTTACTTTGACTCTTTTCTTGCATTTCGCCTCAGCCTGGAGTCCCCGTAACTTAGCTCGCTAAGCTTTGCAATTGTCGCTTGGATCGCTATGGAAGAGTGGCATCTACTGGCTGAATAAAGCTAGGTCTTCTTCTTATAGAAATCAAGACGGAAATCCCAAGGGGACGTTCTCGATTCAGAATGATGAGCTAGAGAAATTTGGAATCACCCGGAATCTCTCGGACAAGTCGTTCCATCTAGGTTATGAATACATTTCTCGTCTCTTCTACACACATTATTTAGAATGTTTCGCAAACTGTTAGATATTAGGCTCTCAGAGAAGTCAAAGCAAGATTCAACGCGCTGGAAATTAGCCCGATTGGTACCTGAACGTTAAATTTTTACTAGCTACTTATTCTCTCTTTTATGTTCATATTATCACTAATTCGGTGTTTGCATCCCTTGCATCGTTTCCTTGGCTGATTGGCGGGAATATTATTTTCTCATCACTCCGCTGTGGCGACCATACGATATACCTAAGGTACTAAGCTATTGCCATGCGGGACGTGGGAATGTACTGTACAGTTATCCCTGTCCACATACAAAATGCCCCTCGAGTGCATGGGAACGGATGTGACTGGTATATCGTAGTAATATTAGACGGTCGACAGGGGCGACTGACTCCTAGAAATATCGAGAAAAATAAGTATCTGCGTCGATTGATAATTGTTGACAACTACATCTTATAACTTTCCATTGCAGATTGAACACTTGTATCTATGCAAACGTATGCTGGCGTTCGTATATAGGTCAGACCCTTTGTTCGTATACTTACATGGTCATCAATTTTACGCAATGTGAACCATGATGAGTCAATTGACATGGTAACCTTGTGAAAGTCGATGTTTTCAAAGATGAGCAGAGATTTTGTCCAAGTTCCTATAAGAGCAAACGCAAGGAAAGTTCTAGATGTGATTTCACCGCATAATGGTAAGATACATTTGATAGGTTTCCATACCTAGAATCTAAGTCGCAAAGGCTAAGAAACAGGTAGTCGTCGGTATGAAGTACTCACTTTTAGTACACCCTAGATACTTGTTAGATGCACTGATGTGCATGACAATTACGAGCACATGCTGAATTGTGTAGATAGGAAAACACCACCAAGACATCTAATGGTTAGAAAACATACGAGTACGCTCCTCCAGGAGATTGGCATTTAGATTTTCCGTATTTCGTGTCATTAGCGTAAATGACATGCTTTACGCAGAGGTAGTTTCCGTTAGTAAGTGCTTACAGAGTATTTCGTACGCGCATAAGCCCTAATTCGAGCCTCAACCCGCCGTACTTGGGAAATGGCCTGTCCACGCAGTGTAATCATGCAGATGATCATTCGAAGGGTCAGGTCATAAGGGGATGCTGAAATGTCTTCGTCACATGTGAACAAGCCCAGCAGAACGTGCAGTGGAGGATGTTAATGTGGCTGAATCCATTGGAAGCAGGGGAACTCCTTTCCAGGTTGGAGTTTTATGACATTGCAAAGTCCTATGTTGGTTTTACAAACTAGAACATTGATTACCGATTGAGGCGAAAAATGACATATAGAGGGGAAATTGATTTCGCCAAGTATGAATGGCCATAGAACTTATCAATAAATAGTGATCAGACGATCTGGAGATTGCATATTTATTAAACAACCCAGAGATTGAGGTCTTGTTTCCGATCGGATGTTGTCACAATCTGCTCTGTCAAATGCTTCAAATGAACCGTGGAGTGCGGGAATCAATGCAAGAGTTACGCGCCTAAAGTACATAGTAAACTGAACCTCAATTACTTATGCGCGTGTACTTGCATAAAAGAAATCGCGCAGAATGATATAGAGTAAAATTATTAGATGCTTTCAACATACATCGATCTCTAATACGGAAGTTGTATATAAAGGTCATTCATTGTATCTGAGGGGCATGTTGCATTGTGATCAGCCCTAATTATCCCGTCATCGGGCTAAACAGCCTCTTTGAGTGAGTTTCATCCGAGATCGGAGTGAAACTATTGGCTATTGACTTCTGTTGATACAGTATAGGCAAATGCGGTGAAACTCTTTAAAGTAAGAGCCCGACACAATAATATTCTCTGTAATAAGTAAGGACTAATGTTCGTTGAATATTTTGTTTCCTTGTGTGCAGAGTTGAGATTTTATGGAGGCATACGAATCCCTACCCCTCCACCCTCTTCCATGAACCAATGTGTTTCCAATTGGAATACGCAGCTTTCGTATACCGCGTCGTTCAACCAACACTCGATGATTGTTGGCTGTTGAATGGTAATTCGCAGCGCTAACTCCGAGTTAGGATTATGAACCTCACATTTGTCATCTATGAATCCCTTCGAATTTGTCATCTCGCAAATGCTACTGTAACATCGAACATGGATAAGAGATAGTATTTATTTCAAGAGTTCCATATCATAATAATCTCTTTAGCGCAATAAAAATACAACTGTGAGTGATTTTCCCCAACAAGTTCATCCAGGTCGAAAATGAGCCAAACTATTGTTCTTATTACTGGCGGAAACCGGGGGCTTGGCCTTGGGTTAGTTGAGACCTTTCTGCAGCAGCCGAACCATGTAAGGATTGTTATGGCATTCTATCTTGTAAACGCATATCGGTTAACGAGTAAAATAGACTGTTATTTCCGCCAACCGGGACCCCAATCATCCAACTTCCAAAGCACTTGCCGACTTGCCCAAGGCTGAAGGCAGCAGTCTCGTTGTCTCAAAATACGATGCTGGGGTTGAGCAGGACGCTTTTGACCTCGTGAAGGATCTGAAAGGCGAGCATGGAATCAACCATCTTGATATTGTTGTCGCCAATGCCGCCATCGCAAAGTCTTATCCACTCGTGAAGGATGTCCGGCGAGCTGATATCCAAGAACATCTCGACATAAATACCTTTGGTGTATTATTTTTATACCAGGCCACAAGGGATTTTTTGCAAAACTCAACTAAAAAGCCTGTATTCGTCACTATTAGTTCTGGGGCCGGTTCACTTGGGTAAGTCATGAGTATTCTATACGACTTGAACTCAAGGAGATTAACAATAATATTGTAGACGACAGCCGACGATGCCAAATGCTGCGTATGGGCCATCAAAAGTTCTAGTAAACTTTTATGGAGTTAAAATTAATTCCGAAGACGAATGGCTCACTGCTTTTGTCTTGGAACCTGGCTTCGTTCAGACGGATATGGGAAACTTTGCAGCGGACCTTTTTGGTATTGGCAAGGCTCCTCTTAAAATAGAAGAGTCTGTGGGGGGCTTATTTAAAGTCATTACAACGGCAACCAAGGAGACACATGGTGGCAAGGTTGTGTTGTACACTGGTGATATTCTGAGCTATTGATCATACTTTGACTCGAAGAGATAGACTTGTGTTGCATGATTCAAGCAACGTCTATGAGATATTAAAAACTCAAGGGTTTTTTTGAAGAGGTGGCATACAAATTTTAGACATGTATGATGTGTGATGAAGTTAAAAAGTAATTCGATATACACGCTATGCTTGAGTGATTTACGACTCCATTCACCATGTTGTTAAGATGCAGAGAATAACAACTCCAATCTCATCCTTTCCGTTACTTATTGACCAGTGGATTCTTCTGCAAGAGAGCATCATAGAAGCCCTCTTTCTTAATTGTTTTTGAGGATCCCCACCGTTCCATGATGGGCTGTTTCCCAACGTTTTGCCGATTCCATCAACTTTTTGACAACATGCCACTGTTGGCCCACGAAGAGGACTAGTGTTATACGGGGTTTTTATTCTCCAGGCAATGTATAAAGTAGCTTACGTCTAAATGATCGGCGTCTGTTAAACCTGATTTTTTAATTGTAGAACAGAGTTTTCCAACATCACTAAAATGTGGTTACCCCTAGAGTCATAAAGGCTCCAGGTCAGCTGCTGCGAGGTGCGTACTACTCACGATTGAGAGAGTTATCAAAAAAGAATTTGCCCATTAAAGCGTTAGATATAATTTAATCTTTGTCATAAAGCTTGGGGTCCGAATTCTGGTTATTAGTTATTTTACCTTTGTGACCTTGGGCTCCTCTCCGCCAATACCACGCCTGACAGGCCGATCCCGATATCAGAAGAGAAGAGTTTTATACCTACTAAATAATGACGTTTGTTCAGTAATGACAAAGCTATGGGTTAGACTTTATCCACTTAGTGTTTTGAGTTACAACCTTCAGCAAAATTGACGAAGAACCTTTGGGGGTTACATAAAAGCCATCACTTTTGGGGGCCAGATCTATGTTCATTACACCGTAACTTGATTTCTAGGGCTACATATAAGAGCCTTACGTCAGGGTAGATTTTGATGGGCAAATTAGCAACAGAGGCTCCCAGTTGATCTTTGCCGCAGGGATTCACTAATCTTGGTATCACAACTCGCTTCCAGGAACAAGGTATTGGAGAAGCAACTGTAACAGGGATTTTTCTTCATCTGAGTAAGCTTACAATGAGTATTTATGAATACGTAATAGCGATGTTTCCAAGACGAAATATTGCGGGTGAAAGCTTCTTCTTGGAAGCGCCACCTACAGGGGCAACGTTGAGTAAAGCCTCCATCAACTTGTCGGAAAAAGGGGGAAAGATAAGTTGTATCGTATTAAGATGATTGCGGGTCCTCCATGGAGCATTATGAAAACGATCACATCATCTCTCCATACCCAAGTTGTTTAGCTGCTGCGCGGACAATTATCCGCACGGGGACGGCGCACATCGTACCGGATAAAGGACACGTCGGTGGTTGAGACTGCCGAGGATCATCTTCGTTGTAGCTAAGGTATCTCCTTCGTCTTACATAGGACTCAATGCAGATATGATTCTTTTGCCCGAGTCGTAGCTGTGGGTACAAAAGCTGCATCACACATATTCATATTACACCAAAACATTTATGTATGTTCCGGTAAGTCTCCCCCAGAAGGAGACTAGGGCTTGAGACAAAGTTGGCACGGCTATTTACCTATGATAGGTGATAGCAATTGGTAAGAGAGGGTCCTGGGGTAGCAATTCTCTAGCATGAAGCTCCCCAAATTCCTCAGGTGCCAGTAAACTAGTCTCACATGCCTCGACATAGTTTTCAATGCGCACCAGATTATCTCTCGTCAAAGATAAGAACTGTGCCATTGAAAAGGAACATCGATATGCCTTGAGGAAGCTTTGGGAGTACGAATATATAGCTGCTCAAACCAGCACCAATGAAGGCGCAGAACACAATGGGTGGCTTCAAAGATGAGAGATAGTGTAATACCAACTATGATGTTGCGTGACTTCACTTTGCCGTCATAGTGAGCAAGATTACAGTGTTCTCTGAGTGGAAACAAGGAAGGGCATCCTCGTTAGATTCACGCGGCCATATGTACTTTGAAAAGACACAAACGTTTGCGCATTCAGAATGAAGTAATCAAAGCAACAAGTGTAACCATAGCCTTTAAATATTGTAGACATCTCATCTCCAGCCATTGTACTCACTGTCAGGGTATTTACCGTGTCACCCAACCTCTCATTTACGGACAATCGAGCTCTTGCCTGCCCCTGTAGCCAGGTACTCTCCTCGTGAGATGACTCATCTATTTTGTCCCCAACAGCGGTGTAAATCTGCCCCCATGTAATTTCCTCTTTAAGGTGAAATCTATTACACACCATCGTGGAGAACCTGTTCAGCAGCTTTCGTGGCCGCCATGCATTGGAGATGCGCCTTCTGTTCGACGTGCAGGCGTCTGAGCCCACCCCTGTCCTCCGTTCCCTAAGAGGTACATATGATAGCCCTAATACGTCCTTCTAGGTAGTAAATACGCCCGGATATAAGGAGGGCAATGGTGTTTAACAACACTACATTAGTAACACTGAGTTGTCCAATTGTTGAGAGTGGTCGAATTCAACGTGTGGGGTTGCTGATAATTAGGTATTGACAAACGGCCCAAAATATCCCGGTTTATCGATCTGACGTGCATAGCCCAACCCAGATAGCGGTCCGCATTGACAGCAAGGGACCGGAGCTTCTTACAGGCCGGGATTACGAAGTGCAGGAAAGAATGGAATGTTTCCATCATTGTTACCGCGCGATACTTTGAGCATACGAGGATCCACGTGAGGTAGATGCTTCTACAACGGAAGAACAGCCATAGAATACAAATAGCGGCAGGGATTTTCCTGTCAATTATTTACATATAGCATTCAACCCAATGCTCCAAATATCTCACTGCATTACTACATTACAAGCTGAGCCGTGAAATAGTCGCCATAATGTCTATACGAGAGGACCCGCAAGCACGTCGCCGTTTGCAGAATCGCATGGCACAACGCCGTTTCCGATCCCGCCAGAGTACGTGCAACTCTCACAATGAAGCGCCTTTTATTGCCTTTCCAGTACCTTACCAACTCTAGAAAACCAAGAGCAACGAGATGCTATCGAACCGGCCTCTCAGCTGCAATGTGCCGCAGCCTCGTTGTATTCTGAGTCTATAGATATAGAAAGTCTCCCGGAGGACTTTTCAAGCACAACAAACATAGCACACGAGGTATCATCGCTACGCGGCAGCTACTCTGCGTCTTTGAGCTGCGTAGGAGGGATTCAGGAGAGTTTTTCGCTATTTGATAGCAATAACAGGCGTGACGATTTCGTCGGCTCGGATGCAAACAGAAATTGTATGCCATACACGATGTCAGAGCTGATACCGATTACGATTTCGACCTCTCCCAGCAACTCGTCCCCCCTCAATATTCTGGAACCAGGCAGGATCCGACATCGAAATTCATCACCAGCCCACTCGGACAGCATCCATTTCTCGTCTGAGGACCACTTGTTGGAATCCGCAATCCCCGCAACCAGCGATCTGGTGAAGACATCTAACTTTGGATCACCAGATCTATCAAGTGCAGATGCTAGCCCAAGGGCCAGTGATGCGTGTGCTATGGGCGATCCCGGCTGGCTTAGCGCTCTGCACATGGCAGCGAGGCGGGGCCATGGAGGGATCGTACAGCTGTGTAAGTGGCCCCTCGAGATAGATCGAAGTAACCCGCAGTTGCAACTGTGCGGGCTTGTTGTTTTCTCACAATACATTTACCCGTTCAGCCTGCTACGAACCAGTTGGAGAAGGCCAGAATAACGCTAACGATGGGTAATAGTGCTGCAGAATTGCATGGATACTAATGGGCCAGATAGTGATGGCCTGACACCTCTGATGCATGCGGTTGCAGGCGGTCATGAGGAAGTTGTTGGCCTGCTGCTGGGCCATGGGGCTCGGCTTGGGGACAGAGACAACCGACGCCGGTCGGTTTTGCACTGGGCTGTGCTTACATACCGAGAGGCTGTACTTCGACTGCTACTCAAACATGCCGCCACCGACGATCCTCTTTTGATTGACTCCTACGATGAATCTGGCTGTACTCCCTTGCACGCGGCCATAGACTCCGGATTCGAGACCGGCGTCAGCATATTAATGGAATTCGGCGTCAACATCCACTCCAGGGCGAGGAAGCCTTGAAGCCTCCAGGAGATGGCTTAGCCAATCAGCGGCTCAATCAGCAAAACGAAACGAAGCTGGACTGCTCCAAATGAATCCATCACCGCGACATCTTTGTCCGAATCCCCGTTATCGCTACCATGATTTGCCCTTCTTTCATTCACTCACCCCTTGCCGCCTCTCACCCCACGCTGCACAAAGAGAGAGGCCAAAAAGCTCTCTCACATTGTTTGGAAAAGCGGCTACTGAATGAAGCAACTCCGCATCAGCTCCTTCAGGCAGCGGTGCGAGGCACAAATCGAGATGAATCTCCGCGCTGGTTCAAGGCGAGTCTTATCGCCGAGACACCGGCGATAGTGGGGCCTGTTGTCGGATCTCCGGATTGTGGGGCTTCCGGCCCCTGGACATACATGTACCTTATTTACAGGTACGGCCGAGTCATGAGGGCAAACCGGGATCTACGCTTGATGCAGTGTCTAGTGTCGGGTGTGGGCTGATACTACTAGCAAGCAATCAGAAGCACTTGGACCGGATATGGCTTCCGAATAAGCGGTGGTAGTGCCGATGTTTACACCTTACAAGCATCTTAAAGGTTAATTAGGTACAAGTCGCCATTCATACCATGACCTACGGATCGCCTCTTTTAGTATAGGAATAAAGGTCGCAAGACTTAAGTATATAGAGATTAGCAGGTTTCTCGCAAATATACCAATTTATACCTAAGAACACGATATTACCAGCGGGAAAGCCTATGTCTGGCCATTAAACGGCCATATAGTTAAGTACTTGTGTTCTACACCTTTGAATAGTGTTTCTCTTTTGTCATAATTAACTAGCTTATCTTATTATTTGTGAGAGAAGGTACTTGTGTTGATTATCTCCAGTTATATTGCTTTTACCCAGTGAACTGCAACACTAACGTTTATGATGGTTGTGGGGTGTATGTGCCGGCACTAGCAACGGCACCCGGCAAAGGGAGGAGAGTTGGACATTCCGCTCATCTAAGCAGCAACAAGGGGACTAAACTGCTTGGGCGTGGAGGGAGAACAACGCGAGTAAAGAGGGGATCTGAAAAATAAGAACCCTTACAGTGGGGGTTCATGCATGATTACCGAGGCTAATGCGTGCTTACTCTACCTCACCACGATACGAGTATACCTAATAGTAGCCTACGTTCACGACATTCGCCGGCTCGGCCCGTGTCCGTTTCTTAGTGCGCGAGTTTGAGTAAAATCACATGTGGGATTGATTAAGTCGTTTGTCAAAAGAACTGCCACATGTGATACGATACTTGATAGTCACCCAATGCTTTGTAATTGGGACTGGCAGATTGGAGGGCATGTGCAGAATGCTGAAGCGATCAAATGTCGTCAAGAGAGCGGGAATTCCTACTTCAAGCTAACAAAACCCGATATAACTGTGATTAAGGTCAGTAAAATCTTGCCTCTCTTTCTATTTGCCACGCCTTAACGGCTCTCTCTTCCACACCGGGCTTGCCAGGGTTAAATGGCAGTTTTGACCTATGCTTAACTCCCCTACTCGCCGCCAATGTCTGCCACGTTTTTGATCAGCCCTACGCTGCTGATTAAATATTACGATGAGGCTAGAGAGGTGTTTCTATAAATAGTCATTGACCATAGGTTAGCCTCTAGTTGGGTACTATGGCCTACTCAACAAACCCCTGCCAAGTTCTCACATGATGTCCCCGGCGAGAGAAGCCCCCAGTCTATCTCACGTCATGCATCCTGTCACCCTAGCTTGACAGGACCTTTGAGGGGCAGGTTTATGCAACAGCCGCTGTTGCAACCTTCTCCAATGCCAATCTTCGAGGGGTGCGTCTAATCGTCCCGACCGGAATGGCCGTTCGGATATGCAAGTCAGACAAGATGAACCCCAAAGTCAGTCCACAAGAATCGGGGGTATGCGGCTCTGTTATATAAAAGCGGATTTCATAACCACGATGCAGTGTGTCAAATAGCCCACTCTCGGGACAAAGTATACCGACTCCGAGCGGGGCTATTCTCACGGTCCGTCTCATCATATCTCATCATGTACTCGTATCTGTATGTCATATCACGGTGCAACTCGGAGTCAGTAAAGCGGAGATGGCATGCCCAGGTGATTGGTTTTACGAGAGGCGGGAACTAGACAGCCGTCGCAATCGGTGAGTTTCGAGAGCGATCCAGAAGGTTAGCGTTATTACAATCAGAAGCCCCCGATCACCCAGGCGCAGTCTATTTAGCACTCGGAAAGATAACCTAGCTCGGATATGGTGACTTCCTATAGGTGGGCTATTTCTGGGCAGAAATATTGCATCATCTAGATGACCATCTCCATAAAGCAAGCAGTGACCAAGTAGCCATGGCGCTACGATAACATTAGGATCAAAGATGATAACTCTTCGCTTTAGGCTTGAATCCAGTTGAATCAACACAATTGCAATTGACGATAGACAGGTAGATATACAGTCCGAGGATCCATTGGCATACTCGAAGAAGAGCACTTTCGTCTCTCCCCTTTTTTTCTCTGAAGCGTTGTAGATCTCTAGGTTAAAGAAGAGGCGAGTTCACAGATCATCTCGTAATCTAGTCCTTTTTTTTCATTTGGCTGTATGTGCATAAGAGGATGTCATCATCGAATGATGTCTCGCCAGAACGGCCAGTTTGAACAACGTGCTCGCGAAAATTATCCAACGCGGCTCAAGTGGTGGGGTCCTGCATTTAATGAAGCACGAGGATGACAATTGTACCATCTGGGCTAATCTCGGTCTATATCCCCGTTGGCTCCACCCTTCGTAAGCCAACTGTTCGGCGTCCCTCACAAAAGAGTACAGAATGCGTGGCAATGTACAAGTGTGGAAGTGGCAAATCTAGACTTTAACAGTAAACAGGTATCTAGGACTGCCTGTGAGCGACTGGTCATTTTCGCTTAGTTTTCCTCGCGAGTCAGTAATGTTGCATTAGCAAGCATGGTGAGCATCAATATTGAATAGCAACCTATTCTTCGAAAAGTAAAAAGTAAAGCCGGGATAACGGCGAGCGTGTGGCTTGAATCTCGTGATGGACTACCTCACATACCGGACAGTTCCTATTTACTGCTTCATTCTCGCAGCGCTACAGTAATTTAACCAGCCTCAGCGAATCAGTGTATATTCAATTGTATATCTACTTTGAGGGATTCGGCCTCAAACTCATCAAAGTGACTCAAATAAGCATCAGTGATAGAACAATACAATAAGAATTGCTGTATTTTCATCAAGGTATACATCATTTAAAGTCGTTCTGAATCGCAGGATTAAAATCACCTTGTTGGCTCCATGTACCATTGAAATGATGTGCCCAAATCTGACCAGTTGCCAATATTGTTATGGCAAGGTATTCATAATCATGCTCATTGTTGTGCTTAATTCATTGTCGTCTCTCAACGAAGTACAATACCTGTTTTTTTTTGGTGACATCACTCTCTAAAAACAGACATCGCAATGCTTCAATACCTGATCCCTATCATCCCGCGTCAAGATCAATCTCTTTTTCGAGTCTGCATATCTGAATTACGGATATAATTATTCTGTAATGATGAAGCAACCGCTTTACACCAGCATTTCCATTCAGCGTTCCGTAATCCCTATAAGTGCTCATGAGGGAGTAATCTGTGTTCCGCTTCTCGAAAGCCAAATAGTTAGTTTATACCAATCTCGCTGACGAGAATAGGCACAAAGCCTGCTTTCGAACCGAGACAAGCATTCCAAGCTGTCTTCAATAAACTTAGTTGATCTCTTCTTGTTCACGGAGGAGACTCTGTTAAGGCTTATGAAAGTGAGAACGATAGCTTACTTTGACAGCATCACGGTGCATGCAGTGATCGAAAAGATTTGCTATTTATATCTTCAATGCAGAGGATCAATAACAAAGTTATTGTTGATAGCAAAGTATCGATCGATTTCTTTGTATGCCTTGTTGGAGTGAAGAATCTACGATTTCTGCCCTCAGCACGGTGGCTTGGAGCGAGAACAGCTTTGACATCATTTTCTTCAGCTGTCTCCAGCCTCACAGTTCCTCCATTTCCCCCCCTCTATTCTTCAATAACTGTGTGAAATAAACAGTTGTGTCAAAAATGATCGGTTTTCATAAGTCATGGGGGTGACTCAATGTGGTCTTTCTACAACTAGGAGCATAAGGATGAAATTTAACGAAGATTGTTCATAACCAAGAATTTCCCAATGAGATGCTACATCAAGGCAGAAGTTGTGATTTGCATACAGGGAAGGTAATAGCGAGATAATGAAGCCAGAGAGAGCTTTAACCATGGCCCATGAACAGACTCAGAGCAGCGGTCCAAAGTACTAGTTCATCACTTCCTGGCAAGTCTTTCATGTTTTCAGTAGCGAACCATTGCATACAGCCTCGTATACGCTTGCATAACGGCGATGATGAGATACCAGTATGGAAATAGTTCACGTAAAAGCTAATCAGAACTAAATTTGAGTGAAGATTCATTAATTATTGTACAGAGATTTCGATTTCACGCTTACTTTGAATAGAAATGTAAGGCAATAGAAGTTTTTCATCCTTTTATTTAGCTGCATCAATGACTCGGGGAGAGCTTTTGGGATTGGAACTCTGACAGTTACACTTGACCGCTAATCAAAAAATCGTACCTAAAGAACGAAAATAGGCTACACGCTGATGAGTATTAGTTGCTTCTTATTTTGCCTTTGAATGACGGGTTCCATGTTGATGGCCTCTTGTTAGGCCTAGGCGATGCGATTCACCTCTGAGCTGCTACTCTATCATGTACTAAGAAGAAATAAGAGAAAAAGCACAGACTTCGGACGCTAGATACGCAAAACAGCTTCAAATAGGCACAAATACATACAGCCGATCCGACGTTTCAAAGACAGGCTGCACGAAATCATGAACACAAGATTGAGTGCTCACTGGCTTGTCTTGTAAACCTCGCGAAAGCCACGAGACCCCGTGCAAGTCTATCTACAGAAAACCACTTTGACCAAGCAGACGCAA